GTGTTCATCTTTTTTATTAAACACTTCTCAAATGACAAATTTTCATGTTGTATTAATATTTTACCTGCAATAAATTAGCAGTAATACTAAACCTCAGTCAGTATTGACACTGCTGTGCTTCCACCAAAAGGAATTAAATCCAGCTGACTGTAGTTATTAGAGATTCAATTTATTCTTGGATGACTTTGAGTTATATGCTGAAAGTAAAAACTCTGTGCAGCTGTCCTTTTTCTGACAAAATGAAAAGTGTTCATTTCTTCTGTGGTCTTAAAAACTGCAAGAACAGAATCCAATAACCTTCACTGTAATCTAAGACTCTTACTGTATTCTACAAAAACTAACTGCAGTTGTTTCTGCAGTGCATTGGAGTATAGCACTGGCTCCTAATTACTAATGCAGTAATTCTAAGGCCAATGTTTTTCAAGAAATCCAACTAGACAATCACAATGTTTTCATGTTGCCTTCAACCTATGGAAACATCTTTGTAAACCTCTGCTGGAAAAAAAGATGTTTTCGGAGTATTTCACCACTTACTGTAGTACAGCCATCTCTGGAGAAAAGTAGCAGCTGCGTAACATCTTGAAGCACTAGTGCATGCCATTCGAAGACAGAAGGGAAAATTGTGATTGCCTTGTTTAAATTCTGCATTCTGCAAGGCTGCTTTTTTGTCCATTGTGGTATGAAGAAATCTAAAGTTATGCAGAATCATCCTGGTTCTTGCTCACAAAATAAGAGGGGGAAAATATCTTGGCACACCAGAAGACACTTTTTGAGGTGAAATAATAACCACAAGACTGTTTTTTAACTAAATCAAAACTTGTTTGACATGCATAGCCATCACAGAGCAATCTGCAGTTCACTGAGTCCCATCAGGGTTCTGCTGGCCCAGAAACCAGGACATCTCCAAGTATGCTAGTTCATGTGTTTGTAGCCTTTGACTAAGATTTTTAGTAAGTCTGCTGTCCAAAAATTGACTGCACTCTTGAAATTAAACCCATCAGATAATATTACATGTCCACAACACAGACTATGAGGTGTGATGCTGATTAGCCAAGCTAATTTAGGAAGAGAACAAATGTGAGGTGCAGCAATGATATTAGTTCAATCAAATATTTGATTGCACCTCCAGAAATAATTTAATTGCAGAGTTCAAAACTATGCTTTGCCCATTAGAATTTTACCTGATTACATTTTGTTTTGGAAGTGTCTTTGATATCAAAATTTAACAAAATACTAATGTATAAAATACTCAAGGCAATATTGGCTTTTTTCTTACTGCTTTAGCCTTATTGTACCTCAGTCAATATAAATTGTCACTCTTATTTAACAAATCATAGTTAACATTCATGTGTTCTAAACAGACTTTTATATCTGAGCTATTGAGCCTGACTCTGCAATTTATTACTTCATGTTAGTCCTGTTTGAAATTGTAAGAGCTTTTCCAACGTACATGATTACAGTACTGGACCTATAAGATTTGCTTTTTATTTAAAGCCAAGAAATTGGTGAATAAATTCTAATACTGCCTGCAGTTTCCCAGCC